TAGGAGTGGTGAGAGTAGATGCCCATGCTTTTTCCTGATCTTTGAGGGGAAACATTCAGCTAAGTATGTTAGCAATATGGTTGTTGTTGTTTTAGTAGGTGTCCTTTTTCAGATTAATAAAGTTCCCTTATGGCCCTGATTTGCTGTAAGTTTTTTTTTTATCATTAATGCGTGTTAAAATTTGTTGTGTTTTTACTGCATCAATTGATATAGAGTTCTTTTTTTTTTTTTTTTGGTCTTTAATATGATGAATTACATTGATTGAGCTTCAAATATTGGACCAGGCTTGCGTCCCTGGGGTAAATCCATCAAGTTGTTGTGCATTATTCTTTTTATATATTACTGGACTTGGTTTGCTAATATTCTGTTGAGGATTTTTTTTAAATCTGTTTTCTTATATTATTTTAGTCTGGTTTTGGTATCAGGGTAGTGCTGGTCTCATAAAATGAATGTTCTCTCTTCTTATAGTTTATGGGCCCATGGATTATTTAGAAAGGTGTTGTTTAATACCCAAGAATTTGGAGATTTTTAAAGTTAATCTTTATGGTTTCAAGTTTAATTTTGTTATGGCCAGCAAACCTACTTTGTATGACTTCAATTATTTTAAATTTGTTAAAGTTTGTTTTATGACCCAAGATATGGTTTATCTTGGTGAATGTTTCATGTGCACTTGAAAAAAATCTTGTGCTATTGTTGTATATAGTGTTCTGTAAATACCATTTAGGTTCTATTGGTTGATGATATTATTCTGTTTTATGTCTGTGCTGATCCTCTATCTACTTGTTCTATCAATTACTGAAAGAAGACTGTTAAAATCTCCAACTGTAATTATGAATATACACACTTATCCTTTAGTTCTTTTCATTTTTCCTTCGTGTATTTTGAAACCCTATTGTTAGATGCATAAATATCTAGGATTATTATATCTTCTTTGTAAATTGACCCATTTATCATTATATACATCCCTTTTTATTCATGGCAATTTTTCTTGCTCTGAAGTCTGCTTTCTTTCATATTAATATAGCCACCTCAGCTTTTCTTTTGTTTAGTGTTTACATGAAGTGCCTTTATTGTAGAGAGCATAGAGTTGGTTCCTCTTCCCTTTATTATCCATTCTGACAATCTCTAATTGGTATGTTTAGCCATTTACAGTTAATATAAGTATTGATATGTTTGGATTTAGGTCTACCATTTTATGATTTATTTATTCTGGTTTTTGTTGTTGTTGTTGTTCCTTCAATAGAGGGAAAAAGCAGTAGGGATTATTCCCATGCCCTTGGGATCACAGTTCCTGTAGTCAGAAAGAAGAGTTTTCCTTCCTCAGAATTTTAGGCACCTGCAAGGCCTCGGCTTTCATCATTGCTGCTGTTGCTGCAAACACAGGATTGCCTGGGGCTACAGGAGGAAAAACCAGAAAAGAGGGAATTCCCCCCAACTCTCTAGTCTTTAAGGAGTCCTTTTTCTGCTTCTCAGGCCAGAAAAAGAGGGCTTTTCTTTAACCCCGTTAAGCGCACTTGCCTTCAGTGTGCACTTCTGAGTGTCAGGTTGGCTTTGTGTCCAGGCCAATGTATAACAGAGGAGAAAAGAATAGAAAATTCATTGCCAAATTATTCTTCCTTTGAGTTCTAGCTTCCTTCCACATTTTGCCTGCTATCATTTACTTTTCAGGATCCTCAGCAATCCATGCATGCTATCCAGAGTTTTTAGTTGTACTTAGTGGGAGAGTTACAGTGGTATGTACTTACTCCATCTTAGCCAGAACCAGAACCTCCAATGTCACACTTTGGTGTTTGTTTTTCCTGACTTTTAAAAACGCAAATATGCAAATTTAGAAACATACTTTTAAAAATTTATTTTAGAAATGTGTTAAAACTATTTTATTATCTACTGTTCAAAATGAATACTTTGGAAAAATCTTCTGCATTCAGGAGATATAGATATACATCATTATTTTATTACTGCATAGTATCCCACTGCACAGATTAATTCATTTAATTGATCATCTATAATTTATCCTTAAGTTTCTTCTGGTTCTTCTCCATTATTAAAAATGTTTATGCCGGGCTTGGTGGCTCAGACTGTAATCCCAGCACTTTGGGAGGCCGAGGCGAGTAGATTGCCTGAGTCCGTGGGTTCAAGACTAGCCCGGGCAACTTGGTGAGACCTCCTCTCTACAATAAATAAAAAATTAGCTGGGCATGGTAGCATGCACCTGTAGTTCTGGCTACTTGGAAGACTGAGGCAGAAGGATCATTGGAGCCCAGCAAGTGAACACTGGGGTGACTGTGAGCATGCCACTGCCCTCCAGCCTGGGAGACAAAGTGAGACTCCAGCTCAAAAAAAAAAAAAGTTTAATGACAATCGTACGTATCCTTTATCTACTTGTCCAATATTTTCCTTAGAATAAGTTCCTAAAAGTGGAATCGCTTGGACAGAAAGTGTGAACATTTTAAATTTGTATATTTACTGCCCAACTGCTCTCCAATTTCCTTTCTCAACAGCTATGTATAATGGTAATTTTTCTCAGATCCTCACCAACATTGGATGTCACTATCTTTTCTAATATTTACTAATGTCATCTCATATTTTAATATTTGTTTATATGATTATCAATAAACAATTATTTATAGTACATTGTAATTTCAATATATTACTTAATTCAATTAGTTGATATTTATTTTAAAATTTTATATCAATATTTATAGGTAAGCCTGATGTATTTTTTTGGTAAAATATATGTTAAATATTTGCCCCTTTTTTGGCCAGGCTCTGTGGCTCATTCTGTAATCCCAGCACTTTGGGAGGCCATGGTGAGTGGATTGCCTAAACCTGCAGGTTCGAGACCAGCCCTGGCAACTTGGTAAGCCCTCATCTCTACAATAAATCAAAAATTAGCTGGGCATGGTAGCATGCACCAGTAGTTCCGGCTACTTGGAAGGCTGAGGCGGAAGGATCACCAGAGCTCAGCAGGTCGACACTGGAGTGGCTGTAAGTATGCCACTGCACTCCAGTCTGGGTGACAGAGTGAGACTCCAACTTAAAAAAAAAAATTTAGCCGGGCTCAGTGGCTCAGCCTGTAATCCCGCGCCTTTGGGAGGCTGAGGTGAGTGGATTGCCTGAGCCCGCGGGTTCGAGACCTGCCTGGGCAACTTGGCAAGACCTCATCTCTACAATAAAATCAAAATAAGCCGGGCATGGTAGCGCGCACCTGTTGTTCCAGCTACTTGGATGGCTGAGGCAGAAAGATCGCCGGAGCCCAGCAGATCGAGGCTGTGGTGGCCGGGAGCGGCCACTGCACTCCAGTCTGGGCGACAGAGTGAGACTCCAACTCAAAAAAAAAAAAAAAATTTGCCTTTTTAACCATTTGAGAATATACAATCCAGTGGCATTACGTATATTCACAACATTACGCAACCATCACTACTATCCATTTCATCATCTCTATACCCGTTACACAATAGCTTCTCATTCCTCCTGCCCCTGCCCCTGGTAGCTTCTCTTATGCTTGCTATCTCTTTGAGTTTGCCTATTCTAGGTCCCTCAGATAAGGACATATAAAGGACAATATTTGACCTTTTATGTCTGATTCATGTTAATCAGCATAATGTTTTCAAGGCTCGTCCATGATGTAGCATGTATCAGAATTTTGTTAATAACTTTCCACTATATACATATATTTTGTTATTCATTCATAGTTGTCCTATTGGTGGGCACTTGAATTGTTTTCATCTTTTCACTATTTTGAATAATGCTACTACAAACATTGTTGTCCAAGTATCTGATTGAATTCCTATTTTCAATTATTTTAGGTATTATCTAAAAGTAGAATCCTAGATCATATGGTAACTCTGTTTAACTTTTTGAGGAACCACCATATTGTTCTCCACAGCAGCTATACAATTTTGAGTTCCCATCAACGTAGCACAAAGACTCCAATTTCTCCACATCTTCACCAAACACTTGTTGTTTTCTATTTTTTCTTTGTTTTTGTTCATTTGTTTTTGTTTTTGTAACAGTTATCCCAATGGATATGAATACTTGATCTATTTCTTTAAATGACCTTTATTAGATTTTGGCATCAAGATTAAGCTGGTTTTGTCCAGTCAACTGAGAAACTTTCTTTCTTCCTCTATGTTTTGAGTAAACTTTCTTTACTCTGCTGTTTTGAAAGAACTTATCAGAGGAACCATCTGAAACAGACACCACTTTTTTAGAGCTAGTTCTTTGACAACTTTTTCTATTTCCTTACTGGCTACTAACATAAGCAGTTTTTCTCACTCTCCTAGAGTCTTTTGGGTAGATAACCACATAAGATATAGAGGACTCAGGTTTTCTTTTTTATATAAATAAATACATATGACATTTATCATTTCCAATATTGTCTCTTTGTTCTCTCTTTTTAGGTGAACTTCCCAATGATATGTTTGCTTATTTGTTTGTTTTCTCTCCAAAGCACAAGCTCTTAGACTTGTTTGGAGTTTCTTTCCAGCCATTGGGTTTATTGCCCCAGGGAGTAGCCTTTGGGAATATCTCACAGTAAGGCAGCCTGAGGTCATGACTGAGGGCAGGGCTGTAGAGACAAATGATCTGAGTTCAAGTCCTCATTCCCTTACAGCTTTTTGACCTTGAATAGTTACTTATCCTCTCTCTGTTTCAGTTTCCCCATCTGTAGAATGGGGAGGAGACATTACCTATTCCATAAGCTTAATATTAATATTAAAGAGTTGGTATTTTTTAAGTGCTTAGAAGAGTGCCTGGCACATAGTAAGCACCATATACATATTTCTTAAATAAATCTGGATTTCCCTCCAGTGTGCTAGAAGCCTAGGCCCCTAAGAACTTCTCCATTCCCCGAATATGCTTTCTGTACCTTCCCACCATTTATACTGACTAACCGCCTCTTGTTTTGCAGAATCGCCTTTGTGTAGAAAAACAACCACTGTGCTTTCCATCCTGCTGCCTGAGACAACCACATCCTCCTCATACATCCCCAGGCTCCCATGGAGAACTCAGGTCAGTATGGAGTGGAGAGAGGGCTCTAGCAGGCCTGGCTGCTGGAGTAGGGAAGGCTTCTCTTGTGGGTGAGGGTGCCCCCAGGGCTGACAGGACCCTCTGCACCCAGCCATGCTGCGAGACCTCAATTCAGCCACCCAAATGTGTTTGTATGAGACCCCAACTGCTTGCAGTTCACTGAGTTGGACAATGAGAATGATGACAAGAATAGCCAAGATTTATTACCGAACACTTGCCATTATTTAACAAAACCCGATATGGCACTTCCAGGAAAGTAAGGATGAAAGCACTTGACCAATATTAACTCATTTAATCTTCATAACAACCCCATAAGATGGGTATTATTACTCTCATTTTACAGAAGAGGAAACAGAGGCATGGCAAGCACAGGTACTTTTTCAACAATCACATAGATACTATATGATCGAATCAGAATTGGAGCCTGACAATCTAGCTCTAACATCTAGGCTCTTAATGATTTCACTATGGACTGCCTCACATAAATGCCAGAAGCATTCTGTAAGGTAAAGGTATAACTATGATTATCTTTTTTTTTCCTGAAAAGGAAGCTGAGGTTTCCAGAGGTTAGATAATTTGCTCAAAGTCACACAGCTAGTAAGTGGCAAATCCAGGACTAGAAGCCAGTATGGCTGATTCCAAAGCCTAGACTCTTCATCCTCTATCAGCCTGGGACAAGGGAAAAACGACCCTTTTCCCCAACATGTGCATCCTCTAATGATCACCCAGCAAGTCAAAGACCACCAGGCAGAGACTCAAATGCACTTGAAGATCCTTGTCCTGGAGAGGGATGGGGACCCTCTAGGCAGAGTCAGCTGTCCGATTGTTAACATTCCGATGACACAGTTTCTTTTCACATCCCATCCATCCTCAGAGTGGCTTGTCCCATCAGAAGAAGCTCCACTGAGTCGGACAAGCCCAACGAATCCTGGTGTTGCAATGGGCCAGACTGTCTATTATCAGTTGGAGTTTTGGAGGTTTGGGATGGGAGGCTAGGGGGTGAGGCAGCATTGCGAAAATCTCCTAAATACAGTTTAGTGCCGCAAAGTGATGTTTCTGACAATGATGGACCTGATATAAGACGGTGGTCCCATAAGATTATAATACTGTATTTTTGCTGTACCTTTTCTATGGTTTGATATGTTTAGGTACTCAAATACCTATCATGTGTTACAATTGCCTACATTACTCAGTACAGTGACATGCTATATAGGTTTGTAGCCTAAGAGCAATAGGCTGTATCATAAGTCCTAGGTGTGTAATGGACGATATCATCTAGGTTTGTGTCAGTACACTCTATGATATGGGCACAACAATGAAATCGGTTAACGATGCATTTCTCAGAATGTATGCCCTAATGGCACATGATGGTATTTCAGAAAACTTACTTCGCACTGACTTTAGCTATAACATTAAACACATGACATGCTTTCTTTTAGGAAGAGAGCACCTATAACAAGTCTGCACATGTACCCCCAGAATCTAAAATAAAGATTTTTTAGAAAGGAAGAGAGGTATACCAATAAAGGTTCTTGGATACAAGCAATAGAAATTAATACAATATGGCTAATTTAAATTTCAAAAAAATATATGGCTAAGCATTGAAGGACATTAGACATCAGAAAAGGGGGAAGACAAGGCAGATTTGCCAGAGAGAGGAGAGAGAGAGAAATTTGGTTCTTGGTCAGCTTGGTCCTGTGCTCACACTGAGGCTGGATCCAAGTAGGGCACCAGGGTTGCAGTCCCACCAAGATGACAATGAGCAGGGAGGGACACTGGAGCACATGAAACCACTGACATCTGTGCCCAAAGGTATGATACATAACCCTCAAATCCAATGGGTGAAAGGAAACATCCCAAAATTAGGATGCTTGCCTGACAGCCTCCAGAGCTGTTTGGCCAGGCTTGCATGATCCACAGGGATATAGGAGGCTGTTTTGGAGGACGTTCTTGTGCTCTGGCAAAGGTGGCTCAGGAGACCTTTACTGTGGCATTCAAAGGCAAAGGGTTTAGTGCTTAGTGCCCTCATTTGGTCTTTGCCACCACTGGTAAGCTATGTCCCAACCAGCCTGGTCTTCCTCATTCCCTAGAACCCCATAACCCTCTGCCCTGACAGTCTTGGGTACTCCAACCTCCATCCTTGGGTTGAGCCACTGTCTTCTTTAACTTAATGCATCAGCCTTCATCCTTCACCCCTTTTAGACAGTCCAGCTCAATTGGCTCAATCAACTAGCCATGGGTGTCAAGTGTCTCCAGGGGCCAGGTAGGGGCTGTAAATGAGTGACACTAGGAGAAGCTGGTGTGCCCATCCCAAGGGTACAGCTGCTCCCAAGCCCCAGTCAACTGCCTCATGTGAGAAGAATGCAGGCGCAGTGTCAACAGATTTTCAGATTTTCAAGAGATGCCAGAAACCTAACCTTTTATGCAAAATCTCCTGATTTGTAAATGTTGGCAACTGATTCATTGTGTGTGTTTTTAAGACACTACACAAACCCAAACAAAACACATCTGCAAGCCAGATGTGAACCAAAACCCAAGAATTTGCTCCGACTGCCCAGACTTTTGAAAATAAAACTTATTTGAAGTTATCTCCCAGAGCTACTGGCAGCTTCTTTATTTTTCTGTGAAACATAAAAACTTAACTTCCTTTGTAAAGCAGGGGCACCTTGGTCTCAAAAGACAAGGCTTGGCTGCCATTCTAATGAGGATGAAGAGAGGAAATCATGGTTATCACAGTGTTAAGACTTTCTCTGTGTGCACTCTGAGCAGAAGAAAGTGAGAGAGAGTGAGAAAGGGAGGGAAGGAGGGAGGGAGGAAGAAGGAAGGAAGGAAGGAAGGAAGGAAGGAAGGAAGGAAGGAAGAAGGAGAAGGGGGAGGAGAGAAGGAAAAAAGGGGAATGGAGTGGGGAGGGAAGAGAAATAAGACCTTACACCAACTAGTTTTCTAAGAACTCATCCTGCATTAACTCGTTAAATCTTCATGCAAGATGGAAATGTGTAGATGAAAGGACAGTATGTGACCAGCATTCATTTCCAGCTAAATTGTTTCCTTGCCAGTTTGAGGAGATGCTGCACTGCCCAGCAGAGGGGTCAGATGTGGCCTGCCCTCTCTCAGCTTGCAGGAGACTCAGGATTAGAGCTTAACAGGGACAAGTGTCTCATAGGGAACAAGTGAGAGCCAGGAGGAAAGTGGGGACTTTGTAGATGCCAGGTGGGCCCCATAGGCTTTCCATGGGCCCATGGAGGGGACAGACAGTGAGTATCAGGGAAAATGTTGGCTTGGCCTAAACACATTTTAAATCTTGGACTGCAATCTGCTGATTTTTAGATCTGTGATCTCTATCCTACTTAATTCCAAAGGAATCCAAGGCAATTAGGATATATATTAAATAGAACATAAAGCAGGAACACCAAAGAGGAACCAAGAAGAGAGAACCTTGTCACCTGAGATGAGCTGGTTTTTGAGGCTGGGCCCTGATTTGGCTGTAAGTTTCCTGATAGCCACGTCAAAGGGGAACCTCTGAAGCATGTGGTTTCTGTTGTCTGACAACCTGAGAATACACACTTGCCTATAAAGGCAAACTCTTACCTGGAGTTAATTGCAGAGAAGAATTTGTTGTGTGGGAAGTGTTTCCCATATTTTCTATCTTAGTCCAGATTTTCCAAGAAGCCAACACCAAGACAGGAGCAGACATTCAAGGAATTATTGGGGGAAACACCTGCATGACGGAAAGTGGAGAGGATGCTGGAAGAGTGAGCTATCAGATTCTGACACAAATCTGAGCCCAAATGAAAGAGAAAGGGAGGATGCTCGGTGGAAATGTCTTAAATTGATGGAAATCCAAGAAAGACTCAGCAGAGTGGTTGGGGGAGCTTGGGCATCTCTTGAGGGAAGAGCAGGCTTTAGGGTCCCTGCTGCACTTTGTACAGGCTGGGAAATGTGTCTCAGCACAAAGTGACAGATTTCACAGCTGTCTTAGTCTGTTTGCATTGCTATAAATAAATACCCAAAGACTGAGTAACTTATAAAGAAAAGAGGTTTATTTGGTTCATGGTTCTGCAGAAGCATGGCACCAACATCAGCTTCTGGTGAGGGTCTCAGGAGCTTCCACTCAGGGTGGAAGGGGAGCCAATGTGTGAGGATCACATGGCGAGAGAAAGCAAAAGAGAGGGGCAAGGTGCCAGGCTCCATTTAACAACCAACTGGGGTGCAGGAGGGGGTATTGACAGAGCAAGAATTCATTCACTGCTTCAGGATGAGAATGAGGATGGCTTTCATGAAGGATCTGCCCCATGACCCAAACACTTACCATGAAGCCCCACTTCCAACATTGGGGATCAAATTTCAATGTGTGGTTTGGAAAGGTCAAATATCTAAACCATAGGAACAGTACAGCAACTGGGACCTGAGTCAACTAAACTCCCTGTAGTGGGAGATCAGCGAAGTGCATTCTCATGGTCTACCACTCTTCTCAAATGTCAGTTTCTTATTTTTTGTACCACCTTCATGTTTTTGCAATGTCAATGTACCACTGTTAAAGAAAAAATTATTTTGACACCTGTTAAAATGGCAGGGAAGACTTTACTCAGGACTATAGAGTAAGGGAGAAAGAGTGGGTTCAACTTTAAAGAAGGAAAAACTAGTTGGGAATTTACAGCCAAAGAACAGAGTGTGTGGGGGTTGGTCAGTGGATGGAAAATTCCTACTAGGAGACATCAAGGGTAGGGGATTCTTGCTACAGGCAGGTCAAGTTCTCATACATCAAAGGTGGGGAAGGGGGCATCACAGACTTCATAGACATCAAAGATGAGGGGTTCTCTCTAAACTGGCTTAGCAGGATTCTTGCTAAAATTGGACTGGGCAGGCTGAAGACAGAACATGAAACAAAGTTGAGGCCTAGTCCATGAAGAGGGCTCAGAGGAGCCTGAGTAAGGATCTGGTCAAGGAGAGTCTTTGTTACCACCTGTCCTTGTATGTATCTGATCTGCTGCTTTAAATGTTAACTTTAAACCGGGCTCGGTGGCTCAGCCTGTAATCCCACGCCTTTGGGAGGCTGAGGTGAGTCT